AGAGAGAGAGAGAGAGCACCTTAATGAGTGCAAACGAAGAGAGAATGAGTACCATATACAAAGTTTTGGAAAACTTTTTAGAAAATAACTTTGCTGCAAAGAGACGGAGACACAACAGGGAACCAAAAAACCGGGGCAAAAGAGAGAAAATTAAAAAAAGGGTTACTATCTTTATAGGTTTAAGGGCAGAGGGAGATTATATGTTTAGAGAGAGAAGGGGAATCCTATTGGAAGTGTGGATGCACTATGATGAAACTTATCTGAAGAGATCCTTCAAATTTAGGATTCTTCCTATATTTTATGTATGAATAATCTCTCTATTTCTCTCTTCTTCCTAAAGTTAATACATTAACCTTCCTAAAGTTCACATATGAGAATCTCTCTCTCTTTCATTAGTTTCATATTTTACCTAAATTCTCAATAATCTCTCCCTTAATTTTCTCTCCACGTTTCTTTTCCCCTATAGATGGAGAGAAACCTATCTTAAAATTGAGAATTCACATTAATTTCTCTCCTTTTATTTTTTATCCATTTATCTCTCTAAAGATGGAAAAAAAACTATTCTAACACAAATTTTTTCTTCACATCTTCCCCACTTTATCTCTACCTCCAAAATGGGGAGAAACCTATCCTAAAATTTCTTTTATATCTATCTTTAAAAGTGGGGAGAAAACTTTTCTAAATTACTAATTTTTTCTCCACATTTTCCTCTCTTTCTATCTATAAAGATGGGGAGAAACTTATCCTAAAATTTGTAATACATATCATCCAATGAGAGAGATTAGGTGCTCTAAACTTTTTTATTTATAGGTCATGTCCCTTACATCCACTCGAGTGATATGATCCCCTTTTATTTTTATAACATAACATGTGTCACCCCTCAACTGTGGCTTAATACTATAATTTAGATAGATATGTGAAAGTTTGTGTAGAAAAGAGGGATTACATCTGAGGAGAAAGTCGATTTCAAATTGAAGCTCCGAGAGATCCATTACCATTGAGGTAGTCTTAATTTTTTTTTGACCAAAAGGTAGCCATAATTTTTTACTTCAGAGAATACTGCTTTCTTGAATTCACAAGAATACAATCAAGAATTTTCCAAAGTCATAATTGTGATGATCAATGTTATATTTTACATCCAAATCCATATTTAAGATGAATTTAACCATATTTAAGAATGAATTTAAGATGGATTTTTGGTTAGGGACTTCATTTGAGTATAATTGCATTTGCAGACTAAAATTCCCATTGCGCCACCCTCTATCTATGGAAACTTTTATTTCTTTTGACTCGTTGCCTCTCTATTTCAAGTCTTGACACTTTCCACTCTCCCTAAAGTAGCTTTTCCGATATTTATGGGTCTTTGGTAGTTAAGGGTCAGCAAATTAATGTGAGTACAACAATTATTAGGAAATAAGGATTTCAACCTACAACATTATCCACTTGGAATGAATATATTTGGGGAAACTTAGTTTGGCTTCGATAGGCTATAAGGTGAAGGAAAGTAGACTTAGGTGGGCATATGCAGTGTAGACCTAATGCAACACTGGTTAGGAGGTTCAAGTGGAAGGCTCTAAAAGGGCAAGGGGAAAGCCCAATAGGATATGGATGGAAGTAGTAAGAAAGGATGTGGGGACTTTTGGTCTTACTTGGCCGTTGATAGAGCAGAATGGAGGAACGTGATTCGTGTAGCCGATCTCAAATAATTGATATAAGTTGCTGATGATGATGAAGGATTTGAACCTACGATCAGTTAACAGCTGACCCCAGGGTTCTATTGAAATCATTCCATTCCGATTCCCTCTGGTTCAAGCACCGTCAGTCCCAATTAGGATCTGATGAATGGATCGATTCATCTCTCTGTTTTCTTTGAAGAGGTTGGGGGGGAGGGTACAATAGGATCTGGCTTAGAAATGAACTAGAAAGGAGTTGGATGAGGAGGGAGAAGACAAGAGTGAAACCAAACCATGATGTTTCAGGTAATGCCCCAAAAATGTCTTAGTGGTTATTCTCTTTCTCTCTCTGTTTGTGTGTCACTGAAATTCTCCATTCTTCAATTGACATCTCTCACTTTTTACTTAGTTTCTCTGATTTTCAATCAGAGTTTCTCTCAGTATACTACCATTTCTGTGATCAATGATTTCATGAGCTTTTGTGTATCCTTGATTGGTTCATTATCATTTTAAAAACTCGTGCTTTTGTCCTCCCCAGTAATTAGCTATATATTTCTTTTGTGACTGTGCTCGGGTTTGTGTTGGTTGTTGTTCCCAATAGGTTTGTATATTTAATTTTGTTTTCTCTTGAAAACTACTAATTTGCAATCTCCTTTTTGTAGTTATTTCTTGGACTGAGACAAGATACCAAAAGTTATTTTCTTTCCACACAATTTGAAGAGCAAAGAGCTGGCAAATGGGCGACTCTTCTGACTGCGACTTTCTCTTCTGCAGTTTTTGTGGAACGTTTCTTTCATTTGACTCACCTCTTTATGCTTCATGCCCACTTTGCAAGAGTAAATTTGATGCAAAGCGTATGCATTCTCTTCACAATATTCAATTCATTTCTTGTGTTGTACAAGCTTCTAAAATAGAGTTTTGATTAGCTATTTATTTTATGAAATCTTATTTCATGAAACCTTTCAAATCAATTTCCTTCTCGAAAATTAGAGTCTAATGTTCCCTATGATTCTTTTTTCTGTTAATCTGAAGAATACAATGTCTTTCTTGATATGTGGTTGTGGTTTTTCTTCTATGGATCATGATTCTTAAAGTTTCAGGATTTTCTTAGTTAATTTCCGAAGTATATTAATTTCATATTGGCTTCTCTAATGTCGCCTCCAACCAAATCCAGAACTTGCAGGAAGAGAGATATGCTACACTATCACTGCTGAGGTAGGCTACTCTGTAGCCTCTTTCTTATTCATCTTATGCTTTGTTTATGGAAGACTCAAATTGCATGAAACCAATTTATTGGATTGCTGTTTCTTCAATATGATTCATAACCAGTGGTCAAAGAGTCGCCGAGTTGACCTGGACTCGTCCTCAGTAGGGTGCTGAGGTGAGTTCTAGTGTATAAACTCGGGTTTATAAAACTTTTATTATATCTATATAATTTTTGTTACTAGAACACTTATGAATGACTTAACAAGTATATTTCCATATGTTTTTTTTATGTTGATTTGTGAATTTTTTATTATTTGCTTTACTTTTATATTTCTCCCTTTTGTTGGATTTTCCTGAATTGTTTCAATCTACAAGATATTCTCTCTTCTATTTACTTTTTTCTATCTCTAAGACTTTGATGCTTTTTATAAGTCCTTTTTCTTTTTTTTGGTTCCTTTATAAAAACAATTATACTTTATTTAGCACATTTTAGCCATTTTTCGGATCGTACATGACTTAGGCGAGTCCACTTGGACGACCCAAGGGCCCAGTCTGGACTCTGGAGCCCAAGTTGAGTTTTAGACATTCTTTGTAGCTAACACCATGAGTTTATCAGGTGCTTTCCCTTTCCCTTGTGCCTGTTGCATAACTTCGAACTTGATTAGTGACATGCAAATCCTACCATGTAACAGAAAGTGCTCATGTTACTATGAAGAAAAAAGATGTTTTGTGAAATGTAACTCTATACAAGTACATTATGTTAGTAAGTTGTATGATCGCAAGGAATGAATGTCTGCAGCCCTGTAACTGACACTGTTTAGTTTGTTTCTCCATAGTATTCTGGGCTATCTTTCAGGTCAATGATTAAATCAAGTTAATCAACATTATTAAGAATGTAATGCTAGAGAATTCATTTAGGATAAATTCTGTTATCAAGAGATTTGATAGTTCCTACTGTTTTTCTGATTGGATTAAAGTGAAATTCTATAATGTATCAAGACATTCTATTAGTAAGTCTTTTTGGGCCCATTCATCAGATTCTAATTTTCTCAATCAATATGAGTGGATATGCAGAAATCTTTCTCACTATTATAGTGGATCCTCCAGACAGTTTATGACAAATAAAGTACATGCTTCAACTCTCTTGTGCTAGAACTTGGCTTGTAAACATAAAAGTACGGCACGTGCAATTTTGAAAAGAATAGGTTCAAAATCCTTGGAAGAATTCCTTAGAGAGGAAAAGGAAATTCTTCCCTGGAATTTTTCAAAACCCATTTACGTAGTGGATGGGTTTGGTACTTCGGAATTATCGATACTCGTAGTCACTCATGATTAATCATGGGAACATGTAAAATGCAAGTAAAAAAAGATTAATAAGCGGTCATTACATGAATTCATCTAAATATATTTCTCTAAATATACAGAAAAACAAGGCTCTTTCATTGCAATATTGAAATGCCCATGGAATGGAGTAGTTATGGAGGCAACTTAGGATTCAAGTTTCTCACATTTCTTTCTAGGGACTATTCCAGATTCATGTAAAATTTTGGCAAAGTTTTTCGTTGGCTGCCTACCTAACACAACGCACCTCCTTTACCTGGGTTTGGGACGGGTTAACGGAAAGTTTAAGGTCCTCACCCTTCTTAAAGCCACATTTCTTTCTAGGGAACTTAATTTTAATTGTATGCATGGGGAAAGCCGTGTACCATGAAAAAAATACAAGCACAGTTTAGAGAGAGATCCTTTTCTCATATTGAAACAGTAAGTTTGTCTGCTCCTTCCGACTACTTCCGGGTTCAAGGCCTGGGCAACACATTCCATATCGAATAGTGATTTTTTAAAAATTCAATTGAACAAATTCAATCCGTATGTCATATTTCTTTCACCTCATTTACAAATCATTCAGATATATCCATCTACATTAAATCTAGAGTCTAGATATCTTAAATAGACATAGACTAGCTAGAGATAGATATCTAACTATATCAGCATGTTTTCGAAATTTGTTGAGACAGGCATTTAGGTCATGTTATAGTATTGAGTAACAAGCCTTAGATTGTCTATTACTAGATGATTGTGTGTGCATGGGAGTCCATAATAATTGAATAAGCCGAGATTGCCCTGATTTCAATTTTTACATATAAATCTGTTATTTTGCAATGGCAGGTCCTGATACAAGCCATTTTTTTGTTACAAATATGTTATTATATGATGAGTTCCAAAAACAAAATGCTTTCCCTTTCTGGTTGATTGAAATAGTTGGCTCTCTCATCCCAACTTCCTCCTCATTGTATTTTTCTGTTTCCTACTTTCATCTTCTATCTGTCTAATTTCTTATTCATTTCCCTCCAATATCTGCCCATTTTCATATCTATTTCCCTGCAGGATCTCAGGAGGGACCTGAATCTTGAGCCTTTTGTACAACTTGACAAGGATACCAGAGAGGAAGATAAGGGAGTTCAGAGGACAGTGGTACGTAAAATTGTAGTGCTGTTGAAACCTATTGAGGTTTTGTGGTTATGGTTTTCATGACAGGTGTGTGTTTGTGCGTGCGCTTGATAGGTGAATGAACCATGTCCTAAGTGCCTTAATCCTCAGCTCGAATATCACACCAAACAGGTTAGACAGATATCTTTTTCCCAATTAGTTTACACATTTAGATCTCATGTTATGGAGGCTTAACCCTATCTTCCCTCTTGCCACAGTTGAGATCGGCAGATGAAGGGCAAACTGTGTTCTATGATTGCCCAAAATGCAGGCATAAGTTCTCGGTGAATACCTGAAAATGGTCTTTATAACAATGAAGAGGTATCTGTTCTGCCCCTACAGTGGGACATTACATGCTCAGATGTCTGCTTTCAACTCTTGGTTCTAGCGTTTGTTTACATTCATCATGATGAGCTATCATCAATGAAGATTTTAATCCCGAGTCTCAATGCTTCATGAAAACCATTTCATACATAGAAACAAACCTTTTGGACTGGCATATTACAGAGCTGCTTTAAGGGATTCACCACTCTATTTGCATATGGAATGGATGGGCCTCACAAGAACTGCTACATCAGTGTGTGTGTGTGTGTTTGAAATGTCCTTGTAGAATTAGTGACTGCAAGATATGTATAGGGCTAGATAGGAAATGAGCTGATTTTGAATAGATTTCATGGTAGAATCTCCTATGTTCAATTTCCCAATTGCTTCTCTCTTTCTCCCCATATTTTCGATGCCAGCTTATTCTTCAACGACAATGACAACTGCAGGTAATTGCTGTATCTTGTTTGCAATAGTTGGAGGAGCTAGATGAAGATTTGACACACACACAGGGAGAGGGAGATCCCACAAAGAAGGAGAAAGGGGGTGCATACTCACCCAAAATTGAATGTCTTGTATGCTTTCTTACTACTCTAAAAGTTTTGGGAGGTTAGGAAATAGCTTCATTCTATCCTAACCGCCTGCTAGGATCTCTCATATATGCAAGAAATATTTAGTTTCATTTCACAACATTTTGACATATATAAACAAAAGCAAAATTACAATCATAGTATAATTTGGTCCGTATTTAAAAAGGTGAGGTTTGTATAAGGTGTCAATCTTATAGAACTAAGGTGCACTACAAAACCTTATGATGGCATAAAAATCTAGCCGTACCTAATTTTGAAATTTAAAGCTAAAAAAATGTTGCATATCAAGTAGATCTATAAACAATTAAACATTCTGAAAATGGGTGGTTCAGATAATACGTTACATCATGCACTATTTTAATGATTTGAAATCTTTTTTTATTTTATTTTATCATATCTATAGATGTCGAGGTTAAAATATCAATTTGGCGCTTCTTTTAGCATCGGAATAACCTTTTCCTGGGTTTTCAAGGTGAGCCTTACTTTAATGGTGGAAACTTGTCTTGTATTTAAATGCCTCACACAAGGTTGACAAAATTAACTAGTCATATTCTGGTTACGATGAGGAGAAAATTTGGGAATGCATTCAGCAGTTTGCGAGCTGAACGATATTCGACAGTAAGTATATAGGGTGAGGATAGAGTTAAAACTCAACACGTGCGCACACACATATCTACGCAATGCTTATGGGCGAAATTGAATTATTGCCCATAGGCTCATAATCGCTCAAAAAATCGGGCGGTGTGTGTTTTTCGACCGTCATGGGCTTAGCATGTTTGTGACGGTCTAATTTAATGCGGAATTGCAACGGATGTCGTGCTATCTATTGCAGGTCCCTTCAATAAACCGTCATCGACATGGACATAGCAAGTTTGTTATATATATATATATATATATATAAAATAAATAAAAGGTGATCACCTTAAACAATCGAAGTAACGTGCACATTCAAATTCCAGGTGGACGATGCACTTCCCGAGTAGAAAAAGTTATGATGAACTGAAAATATATGTTCATTTCAAGTTAGAAAATTTAAAGTTCCAATAATAGTGCAAGTTAAGTACTTATATAAATACTTGAAAAATTTAAAATGGATTCAAATAATGCGTAAAAAGTGCACTATTTTTACGACTTCGAATTTTCAATTGGGGAATTTTTCAGCATTGGGATAATTTTTTCGGCAACATTTCCAAAGAAAATATAACTTTTTCCGGTGGCTTTTAAGGTGTGTCGTCCTACAATACAAGGTTAACATCTTATATGTATATATGTATTTATGTATAATGACGATGTTGACATTTTATAATAAATATTTATTTCAATAAATATTTAAATGATCAATATTTCAATAGTAAATATTTGAAATATAAATTAATAATGAGTATTTATAGTAATGGTGATGATGTTGACAACATCATCATTTTTATAACGTACATACTAATTTATTATAGGGTTAGGGTGTTCACATTATAGAGTAATTTATCATTGTATTCAACAAAATTTAGACATATATATATATCCTTGTTTTGTATAGAGTTTTTTTTTTAATAAAGGTATTTTTGATAATTCGTAGGGGTGTGACATCACCCATGTGGAGCGTTACTAGTGTGTTTCATGTGCATGTCACACTTCATGTGAATGATGCTACATCTTTCTTAATGATAAAAAATACCTTTATTAAAAAAATACTCATGTACAAAACAAGAGTATAGAGGTGTCCAAAATATTGAGTACAATGATAAATTACTCTATAGTGTGAGCACCATAACATAACTTTTTATTAAATATGAATATTATGCTAAATTAATTTTATTATAATAATTATAGATTATTTAATATTATAATATTAATATGTTATTATATTATAACTTTAAGATAATATTGTAATAAAAGTACTTCGTACGAAGTGATTTTAAATTGATTTGAGTATCTTTGGCACAAGGTGGTCACAATAAATCTTGACCATTGGATGTGAAATTGGGTGGTTGTATTTATTTCATTGACCAAGCTCAAAGGAGTTTTACTCGAACTTTGTGATATACTCGAGTTATCAGATTTCATATCGGATGGTTATAAGTAATTATGATGTCTCTATTCCAAAGGAAATGGTCTCATTGTGAACAATCTTTTTTTTTTTTTTGGTTACTTAAAAGGTAATAAAAAAGAATAGGACTTGATAAAACCTATATCGATTCTCAGTAAACGAGTAGATATTGGGGGAGACCCAAAGGTAAGATAATTAAATAAATATTATTAATGGGAAAAGTATTCTGTCAGGGGACGCACACGGCCCATCTTCTATGGTCATCCAACTAAAATATGAGCTATACAATGCAAATTAATTCATAAAATATTTTTGAATCAAAATATTATTTAATTTTAATATTCAAGACCGCCCTGGCCTATATCATAGGTCTCAAAAGATTTGGATGCAAATTCCAAAAGATTTGGATACAAAATCCATCTTTAAGACAGACTTTAGAGGGGGAATGCACTTGCATAAATGAGTTGAAACCTCATCCTTATTAATATATTTTAATTATATAATGAGAGACATGAGTCTGCACACAATTTTATCAACTAAATTATTAAATATTATTCATAAAATAGTTATTTTTTTAATTAATTTTTTAATTATATAAGTATAACTATAGTATGAATTGTATTATAAAAAAAATATATAAATAGACCATTTATTTTTAATACAAGGTCACAATCACTCGTGTCCATCATATTTCAAAAAAAAATATGATATCTAATGGCTAACAACAATTGTGACTTCCTTGCAACAATATACAATCATTTATTATAATTGTATAATTTTATTTTAATTTAATGATATTTTTTAATGACTTTTTATTGACATTGTACACTTCGAGGGAGCATAAAATTTCTAATGTACTTTGATATTAGTCATACTATATAACTTGTTATGATATTACCACATGTAGTGCATTTGCTGAATTTTAAATACCAAAGCTATAACTAAGCCTCCAAACTCATTCTATTTCCCAAGGACAACTGCAGTGAAGTCTGTATGAGGCTTTATCCTTATATTTTAGAAGTTGCACCTTTTGGTGTCGAAAAACTTAGGATGACTTAAAAATCTATTTTCATCCCTAACTCTGGAATTTAATATTTCGAAAATTATATAGATCGAATGCAATTATAAAGCTCAAAAATCTTGAAAATAGATGGTCTATACAATTTTTTACAAAATATATTATTTTTAAGAATTGAAATTCATTTTTTTCTTTATATTGACACATCTTGAGGTTGAAATTATTAACTAAAGGATTCTTCAATGTTCAACCTCTCTTCTAGGTGATTTTTGAGGTTCCACCTTACTTCAAGGTTGGACCTTGGCGTACACGTTTGCCAAATATTTTTATTCCCATAGGGGTATACTATTCATTTACTCACTCGAGCAAAATACATGCTAAGGATACCTTTTGGATCTCAAATTTTGTGGATGTAATTTGTATAACGGATGGACTAATCTTTGTAAAAAAAAGAAATCTGAAGTAAACTCTCTGCGTACCATAAGAAAACTAATGCTTCACGATTGAATAGAGATTGTCTACTTTTGAAGTGCTAGATTATAGCTAAGTCAAAATTCAAACTTTTTTTTTGCAAATAATCATTTAGCAATTTTTACGTGGATCCTAAAATCTTAGACCAAAAAATTTATGGAGAAAAGCCGTTTTGGGCAAGGGAGTAGATATACAGTATGCTCATGGGTATCTACAGATAAGCACAAAAAAACAATTCCCGGGATAATAGAAAGTAATCACCTGGACGATTTTTCTATGGAAAAACTTTCTACGTGACCCCACCTAGATAGAAAATTTTGTAGCTGAAAGGATGGCGAAGATGATACCAGCAAAAATGTCACAAAATTGGAGGTAAACTTGGGAACCGGCTTTCAGGCGGTTGCCCATCCCTTACCCAATCGAGAAATCCTCAGGGCTTGCAATGGGTTGGACATGGCCGGACCAGGACCTAAAAAAGCAATATGGGACTCAAACCTGACCCAAAAAAACAATAATATATATATATATATATATATATTTTATGTTAAATATATGAGTAATGATCTTATAGGACCCTCATCTACTCATGTAGAACCTTAAAAGATTACCACTAAAGTTGGTATGGATCTCTAAAAAAATTATCATATTGGTGTGAGATTTGACTTTTTTAGAGATTTGTGTCAATTTTAGAGGTGATCTTTTAGGGGTTCTACACACATAAGTGGGAGATGGTCATATTGAATCATATATATATATATATATATATATATATATATATATATATATATATATATAATAATAATATATATATATATATATATATATATATATATATATATATAA